AAAAAAAAGACTTTAATAGATTTACTTGCTATCTCTTCAAATAATTTTACTTGCTCTCTCTCCAAGTTTATTTAACTTTTTTGGAAAAAATGACCAAGTTCACCTGCTTTCATCCACTTTTAGCTACTTTACATTGCTACTGATTGTTGAGAGAACCACTGAGTTGGTAAGCCCTTCAGGATTCGAAAGGAACACCAGAATCGCCAGTAGAGTAACCATCAACAGGTGTAGCACTGATCAAAGCAAATGTATGAAATGCAGCTGAATAAAGTATCAAAGTATTAGGACTGACATACCTTTGTTTGTTAATTCATAGAATGTTGAAACATTCACTGGTCGAATCTAGGCACATCCTGAGAATCAGTATTACCTTTTTCCAAATTTTTACCTCATCAAGGTAGTTCCTGAGGGCTGTCCTTGACTAATTAGTAGAAGATAGCTGCTGGCGATCCTGGCATTCGGTTACCTCCTCAAAGTCTTGTTAATCAATAAAATCCAGAAATTCCAAAAAAAGTCTAGGAATGAAGTTCTGCACTACTTTGGCACGTTTTAATAAATTTTATCGCTTATCGGCGATGGTTGCCTTTACGTCATTAGCAAAGTAAGTAGCCGTGTTGATTCATGAGCAGTCGATCCACGCAAGAGGGCTATTATCCGTAGCGCTCATACACTTGTGTTGCTGTTCCTGCTCAATTTCGCGCTATGCTATCGTATTCGAGAGATGAGGCTCGCCCTCTTGCCTCTGCGAATGGAAGCTGTTCGCTGCCACGCCTCTCCCTCTGCCTCTTGTTGCCATTCATTCTCGAACAAACTTACCATCGCTTGTTGCCACCGGAATTGCGCCAATCGAATTACGGTAATTTTAGCGCAACACCTGTGTGAAGAATCGCGTCGCATGCAGCGGGCCTAGTGTCCTCCCTTTTTCCTCCTTCCATGCCTCCTTTTTTTCCTCTGGGGTTGTGTCGCCCTCTCAGAAGTGCCAAATTTTTATTTCAGTCTGAGTCTGGAGTTTGATCATCGCTGAAAAATCATCATTTTTGCGTTTCAAGTTAATAACAAAGGTTAAATACTGATATGACTTTGAAATATTTTTTGATGATGGAAGGGCATTTTGAGAGAATTCATAGCGAGGTTGGGAATTGGATCGCGCTCAAATGCTGTGGAATCTATTATAACGTACTTTTGCGTACTAATAGCCAAGGATCAGTTATCGGTTGAGAATGAAAGAGGAGCACAGCAGGCCATATTTAGAATCTGAAGATGGCAGCTTCAACGCATCACAGATACGGCTTGGATACAAACGTGGATTATAAAGGCGTGTATGAAAATGGGTTAAAGGAGAGAGATGAGCTCAAGTACTAATCGGAACAAGTCGGAGTGAGATTCCGAGCTAAACTATGCATAGCTCAGCTGTAGCAGTACTTTACGGAAGCTTCGGCACAAGGTCGGAACAAGAGTGACATAATTACCAGGACAGGATTTAGATGCAAACTCAGTGTACAACCGGATAGAGGAAAACCGAGACTGCCAGGATAACAAAGAAAGTCTGCTCGGATAATCGGTTTCTGAATCTGATAATATTAGTGGCACTGCTGAGATGCACTTATTCGCAATTATATCAGGACCTTCACCTGCAGTACAGTAGCTTAAGTACTGTATTATAAGGGAACTGAGGTGCAAATCCGTTATGCAGAAGTTCAGGAGTTAAAGCTGGAGCACGGTGGTTTGGAAACAGTTTAGGATACAGCGTCTTTGGTGTAAGATCGGATTTCAGCAACTAGGTTTTCTGCATTCGCTCTATTTATGCCTCAATTGATAAAATTTCTTTCCGTTTGACTCATTTTTTCCTTACGTAGTTCAATTTTCAACTTTTTGCTTTGTAGTAATTTTTCAGCGTTCTCTCAGGACAAAAATGGAGTAATTGAGATCATTATTGGTACCTTCTCTGATTTATTTGATTACCATGCTCAATTAATCCTTTTCAGTAGCATTTTCATTCCGCTTATTGACTTTTCAATTCTGATTGATGTTTTAATGATGGTTGTTGTTCCTCTGGCATTTGTCGTCCTTGAAATGGTACTGTTAGCCCTGGAGCAGCTGATCCATCTATCACCTCTAGTCCCTGATCCCAGTCGCAGCTTCAATGTCACATTTGTGGCTTGCGCATTAATCTCAAGCAGTTGCTGATGGCACTCAGCTAAAAATAATTATATTTTGATTTGTGGTCTGTTAAATTTAGGGTCCTGAACATTTGTTCTGGGCACCTGCCATCATTGGGAAGAAATCCAGGCATACATTTCCTTTCCGTCCATTATCCATCGATATAGCTTTCTGTTTCTCCAAAAAGCATACTTTTTCTAAACTTAAAATTCCACTTTTTTTAACAGAAAACCCGCTAGTGTCATTCGAAGTGTCTTGTTCTATAGGAGGTGCCTGCTTCAAACTTGGTTGTGTTTTCCTGGGGATTTTTTAACTGTCTTACTGTAGCAACCACTTTGATGGCAGTACAGTTGATGAGTCGTTCTAGAAGCGAGGTGATGGTGAGTATGACTCCCTGGCATGCGCCAGTACCAATTTATCACGAAACGAATGAATGAACGAATCGTAGAGAGATTGGCTGGTGTCTTTGTATTATCCTTTATATGATTTGGTGACTTTTGATTTTTTATACATTCAGTAAAAAAATTTTCGATTAATTAAGCTTTGAAAGTTCATCTGCTTTTTGTTTCTTTTAGCATTGCATTAGAATTTTAATACTGAATTAAGTACTCACAGTATGTCTCCTACAGAACCCCGACCTTGACATCTCATCGTGGTAAAGGAGTAGCATTGGAATAGGCAGTGTCGAGACACGCGAAGGGATACAATCCCTGGCTGCTCCAAACACTTCGAGAAGACGCTTTACCGCGTTTTGCCAGAAAAGCTTTGGTGGTACGAACCAATGTCAGCTTAGTTAGCGGTTAGTAATATTGTAAAGGTCGAGGAGATATTTATGAATTGCTATTTTTTATACTTGTTACTGACATTTTTCAGTGTTCCTCTTGATTAGTCATCTCTGTAAATCATCAAATACCCTGACTGCACTACTGTTTGGCGCATCGTTATCGCAACTGTATTCATGTTTAAAATACTCATTTCAGTGGAATTTTTTTTTT